GGGGGGATAGCAGGAAAAAAAAAAAGTCCCTATTAGGAGCCGGCTACCGTCGTTCACTTCAAAGAGCCGGCTCTAAGAGCCGGTTCATTCGCGAACGACACATCACTACTGCGGTGGCAGACGAGGAAAGATCGATGTGCTTACAGTGTCTAAAAATTTTGGTCGAGGACAGCATGAAGCCAAATAAATTAAGGCGTCCCTTAAAGACATTACACCCCAATCACGCTGATAAGCTGCTTGATTTTTTTCAGCAAAAACGTGCCGAATATTGCTAACAATCATGCCGCTCTGTGACTGCTACTTCAGTAAACTAAAATACAGGTCGCGGCTACACATTGAGCAGGAGCGAGAGTTGCTGTGTCCTGCTTCAAACCTCGCTTTGAAAAGCTGTGCATTGCAAAACGTGCTCATTGTAGCGATTAATCCAGACATCATCTTAGATTTAAAAAAATATTTTTATATATTTTTGTTTTGCTGGTTAAATTTTTTTTTAATATTGTGCTCCTGACATAATGTTGGTGATTAGTTTGAATGCATTATTAGTTATTAATTATTTGTAATTTTATTTTTCAGTATCGTATGGTTTGACATGATCAGTCAAAAAATATTTATTGTTAAATTAAGGATTTAATGTTATTTTTGAATTTCAGATGCACTTTAAATCTTTTCTGTTCCAGTTACTAAAGCTATTCTTTGTTGTAAGTTGGTCCATAAAGTTGGTCCATATTTCTTTCTTTTTTTATTCTCTTATACGCTAATAAGGATACAGTGTTATGCAAAGGTGTACTTATAACAATTTTATAGACAAATGATACTCTTTATGGTCGTGCGGGGGGCGCGAGATGTTTTCCTCTTCCTTGGGGGGGCATGACAGAAAATAATTGAGAACCGCTGCACTAGATGAAGATATGAACATTTAAGATATTCATATCTTGCAATCAACAATATAGGTTTTCCCTGCTTGAAATTGCATCAACTCAATTTGAATGCAACACTAAGGCCAATCAATCACAAACCTCATTTCATGCTTACCGTGGCATGTCAGCTGAAGCTAGCTGATGACAAATCCAAGGTCGGGAGTAACAAAAATATAACTCATAAATCCATCGATCCATCCATCCATTTTCTAATCCGCTTATCCTCACGAGGGTCACCGGCATGCTAGAACATATCCCTGCTGTCTTCGGGCAGAAGGTGGGGTACAACCTGAACTGGTTGCCAGTCAATCGCAGGGCACGCATAGGCGAACAACCATTCGTGTTCACAATCACACCTAGGGACAATTTAGAGTGTTCCATTAGCCTGTCATGCATCTTTTTGGAATGTGGGAGGAAACTGGAGTACCCAGAAAAACCCGCGCAGGCACGGGGAGAACATGCAAACTCCACAGAGGAAGACGAGCTGAAATCGAACCCTGTATCTCAGCACTGTGAAGCGGACGTATTAACCAGTTGAACAAGGTGCCAACTCATAAATCATTCATCATTATTTGGAGGTATTTTAAATGAAAAGAAAAAGAGTGACTTGGAAGTAAGGAAATCAAGTGTTGTAATTTTCATGCTCACTTAATTAAACATCGTGACGTCGTACACCACGTGAAACAAACACGTTTTTAGTTCATTGAGAAACATAACGTAAATTGTGAGAGGTCCTGTCTGAAGCCATATGTGATTAGTAAGACTGTATGTCAAAGAATCTGTCGAAATTGCAGTGTTGCGTTCAAGCCACGCATGCATGCGTTGTTTATCGGGTAATACTAATTGCCTTGCATTTCATATGCTCCCTGAAAGACTGAGATGTGTTGATGCATCTGCTCCTCACCATATCAGGTCTCATGTTTTTCCCTCTGGAAAGAAAAAAAAATTACAATGGCAGTGGTTGGTGAAAGCAGCAGGCCAGCCTTCAAAAAGCACAGTCTAAAATTTTTATCGAAAAGCTCTTCGTCTCCGAAAAGCGTGTTTGATTGTCATAAAATTATTTACACATTATTAGAATGATCATTTAAATATTTATGATTTTGCTTCACATGTACTCCGAGAGAGAATATATTAACGCCACCAAATGTATCTCTACTCGTGAAATTCACACTTGCATTTTAGAACGATCATCTGAATGTTTTGGGGGGGGGGGTGTTGTTGCGTTGGAGGTATTTTGGATGAAATGAAAAAGAGTGACTTGGAAGTAAGGAAATCAAGTGTTGTCTCTTCATATGTGTTCCTATAGAACAGGCATGTCCAGCTCCGGGCCTGGAGGGCCACTGTCCTGCCTGTTTTCCATCTCTCCCGGCTGCAACACACCTGATTCAGATGAGCAGCTCCTCAGCCAGCTCTGAAGCAGCATTAGAATGATCCTGATGATTTGAATCAGGTGCGTTGCTCCTTGGAGAGCTGGAGAACAGGCAGGACAGCGGCCCTTGAGGACCGACTTTGGACACCCCTGCTATAGAACAACAAGTGACGTCACTTTATGTCCGAAAAGTAAGACCAGCCGTCACCAAAATGTATTTACACATCCCTGCTCATGTCCAATTCATACCACCTATAATTTATACTGAAAATGTTAGAACTAAAGTCGCAAAAAAGGAGTGCTGTCGGCAATGGCATGATCGCATTGTCTGGAATCGCAATTTCATTCCAAAAATGATAAAAACGATAAATTGTTCAGCCCTAAACTCATTGTTCTGTATTGTTAAAAATTAAAAACATATAAATGCACCATAACTGTCACACTGATGCTTAGTCATCTGCTGCGGACCACATTTTCACTCAGAGGGCCATTATGACTGTGAAACCATTTAAATGTTTCATTTCCTCATCATCTTTTTACATATACATAACACATTGATGGATAACTTGTTTTAAAATCAGAAGTCAAGGATTGTTCAACTTACTGTAAAATTGGGTTTGGTTAAAAAGAAAAAAAAGTTCCATATCTGAAGAATTTAAATTCATTACATATGACAATTTGACATTTTGCTAGATTTTAGCAAGAATCGTGGAAGTTGAGGCACAAGATTTGCTTTTGCGGGCCACATAAAATGATGTGGCTGGCCAGATCTGGCCCCCAGGCCTGAGTTTGACACATGGGTTATAAGCTAATAAAGGTTAGTCAGTACTCCTATTTGCTTTTTGCCTTGGACTGGTTGTACTATTAAATTGATAGCTAATGCTATGCTTACATTATGTTCCCGGCGGCCAAAGCAATCATATTTCAGGCCACCGTGTAAAAATTGACATAGATGTGATGCAACGCGGTGGATGGGATGGCTAACGTGGCAGGTCAAAACTGCCGTGTGGACGCCTGGACAGATTTGTCACAACAGTCAATATGTGCATGACAAACCTAGACGGGCGCACAAACTTCGGGGAATGCAACATAACGTGACACTACACAATAGGTCTTAACAAATCTTCACAGCTGTCCACCATCAGATAAGAGTATTTTCCCAGAATCTTATGATCCTTCCAAGTTTTGCCACATTTCGTGATGGTTTTCACAGCAAATTAGAGAGTATGGTAGCCTTTTTGTTGCATTCATTCATAGTGTGTCCAGAAATGAGAGGGACCCCCTCAAACCATTAGAAGATGGGGAACCGTTGTGTGCTATTGAGTCGACAGAGTGCAGCAGCGCGCTACAGACGCCGTAACTAAATGCCGCTTTTTCAGTGTGACGGTTCCACACCAGTTCGGCCTTCTGAGTGGTTACTTTTCCAGTTGGACTATTTTGGGGCCATTCTGGTTTTATGTGAGCAAGGCAGAACCGCTCGCCAGCTCTCGCTAAGGTCATAAATTTACAGAATATACAGTAAACATAATTGTGGTTTACAACACTTAACCGTATTTACAATGTCATATGTACGAATTGATGAAATATTGAAGCTTGGGGTACAGATTTTCACAAGCGCATGCACCGCCCGCTGGGCCCAGTTCACATGAATGAGAGGTCTCCAGCCCCAGAGTGGAGCCTCGTTGCGCCTATGGCCTGACGGTCATAACCCCTGCCGTGGATGGTGACTATCGAATGCCACCGGAGGGCTTCGGATGCCTCAGGACAACAAGCCAATACTGTATTTTGGTCCTGACTGCGGGCAGCTGTGTCTCGCTGGCCTAAACCCAGAAATTGATTTTTCATCAAAATTTAAAAGCGTCTGTGCAGTTCAGACCTTGATCCCCAATTTCTCCCACTTTTCACTGGGCCCCTGTTCAGTGCCTGTTGTGATGGAAAAGCAATGGAGGCCGTGTGGTGTGGTGCCGGACCAAGCAGAGTGGTGTGGTGTTGTTTGGTGTGAACGGAAAAGCGGCTCAAGGGTGGCCGCAACTGAGCAAATTCAGATATCAGTATGGTGCAAAGTGTGGACAAAGCTGCTGAACATTTTGACAGGACACTGTTCTTTCCCTCAGGGCGACGTGGTGCGTTTGTTTCATGCTGAGCAGGAGAAGTTTCTGACATGCGACGAGTACAAGAATAAACTTCATGTTTTCCTGCGCACAACCTTGAGACAATCGGCCACATCGGCGACCAGCTCCAATGCGCTGTGGGAGGTTGAGGTAGGAAAATGAACTTGGTTTAAAAAGTACTCCCTGTTAACTCATTAAGTCAGGTAGTACTGCTGTGTTACTCGAAGAGGTGAGATATATTTCCTCTTCCTGTGTGCCAATTTTGCTGCTGTAGACTGCAAATTTCCCCGGTGTGGGACAAATAAAGATTATCTTACCTTAATTGTTCTTCCGTCCAGGTTGTCCATCATGATCCATGTCGCGGAGGGGCAGGACACTGGAACAGTTTGTATCGCTTCAAACACCTTGCCACTGGAAACTACCTGGCAGCAGAGGTAATTAGGGGTGGGAAACAGTCGAACATGTCGACTTAAAAAAAAATGGTTGATTTCACTGAACGCCATTCACATGGACATTTATAGGCCTCATACTGTAAGTCAATTGTACACTTATCTAAACGATCCTGACCTTTTTCACAGTTTATTGGCACCCTCTCCTCCTAGTTGTGGTTGACACTGCAGTGCAGGCAGTGAGTTTGTCCACAGGGGGACATCTTGTTGTAATGTCGCCACATTAATTATGTGTTTGGCATAGTTTTGGCACAGCCAGTCACTTTGAATCTGGGTCAAATATACATATTAGGATGTTAGTGTCATGACTGGGATTTGAACCCTTGTCCCCTGTTTCAAAGACAGGAATGTGCTGCATTGCTCAGCTGTAAGGTAACGTGTTTGTTATCTACAATTGCTTGTTATAATGTTAGCATTGCGAGCTGGAAGGTAGTTTTAGATTAAACATGTTAAGATGTGTAACATCATTTGTATTAAAATGGAAGAATGCCAAATTTAGCATTGCTATATACTTGTCCGTTGTCAACACATTGCAAACTGAGATCAAATGTGATTGTGACATGACTTGAATTCCTGGAGGAAAATGTTTCAGAAATCAACAAAAATAAATCACAGGCCAATGCAATGCAGTACAAGGTTTGAGTGTGTGAGCCATTCCTGATCTTTTATTGTGATTTATTTTATTTGCGATCTTTTATTGTTTTGGATTTGTTGAAAAATTAAATTGTGTCTACTTGAGCCTCTCTCTCTCTCTCTCTCTCTCTCTCTCTGTATATAT